TATATATATATTAAATAAATGGAATAAATGTAGAAGTTGCGCATACAATGGATGGACTCACGGGGAGAAATTAAAAAGAAAAATGAAAAGGAAAATTATGTAAAACAAATTTTATAGGCTCTTAAACATTTGTAAAAATCCATTTTAAACACACATTTTTGAATATTTCAAGGTATTTTTTTGATCTAGTTACTGCGTTTGTATATTGAGTTTAGTTTTGATTTATTATAGTAGCAAGCTTTTATTTAATAAATAATCTTCAAATTAATATCTTCGCAATTCGTCTTAATGTGGACTGAAAACGCCCTTCTCGGTTACAATTTATATCATAAAATAATTGCTTATTAAAAAAGCTATTTTTCAAAATATAGCATTTGTAAATGAATGCATGAAATTTTAATTAATTATCCCCCTTTAACTCCACTTAAGACATCTATCACTTTGTTTTTTCATTCATAATCTACTTCGTCCTCTGAAGTAAAATATGAATAAAATTTTCCATCATTTCTGAACTCATATTAAATCGTATTTTTCAGTTATCTTTTCTGGTCTGATTGGGGCAAACCTCCCAAAATCGAAAGAGCTTACTTAGATGGCAGTTCTCGTCGGGTCATAGTGGCCACTGACTTGGGATGGCCGAATGGACTGACCATTGATTATGAAGCCCGTCGCCTTTATTGGGTCGATGCTCAACTGGACCGCATTGAGTCATCAGATTTGAGTGGCAAACATCGTGTTCAACTGGTACAGGATGTATCGCATCCTTTTGGATTAACGTTGGTAAATAATTTAAAAAATAATATTACAATGCTTATATTAATTTAATAAAAGACTACAGTGCGTAAAATAAAAAATTGTTCAACCTGAATAACTTTTCATTTAATGATCGGATTTCACGTACTGGAACTCGATCTTAATAGTTCGACTGCTTGACCTCAAGTACGCAAATTGATTAGCTCTGATGATATTTTGAGTTACAAAATCAGACACGAAAACGTACTTTCTATGAAACATACCTTTTTCGACGGTATGTCTAATCAAGAATCCTAATAATTAGGATTCATGATTAGACCGCAATCTGGGAAATATGGTCTAACTAGAGCGTTCGAAACTTTGAACCCCATAATGTTAATTTTACTTTTTACGAGTTTCAATATATCTTGAGGACTTTTTAAGTTAATTGAAAGATTTGTGATGCTTATTTCATTGTAAAATTTGATTATCTGAAAATAATTGTACACGAAAAGTAATTTTTAAAATTACTTATTATTTTCAAACAATTCATTTAATAGGGGTCCGAAAAATTTTGAACTATTAGGTGTATAATTTTTACATCATTTTAAAGAATGCAACTTCAAATAATAAAATACAAAATTTGAAAAAATTGGTCAAATAGTTTCTAAGTTATCAATTTAAAAATATCACAAAGTTAATATTTGCTTTCGCAAATATTTGACCGATTTCTTTCAATGCAAAGTGTTGTAAACGATCATCTAACTCCTAGGATAAAATTACAGTGACACTTTCGAAATTTTTGAGCGCAACTTTTTCCATTGAAACGTAATCCCTATTGCTAAAAAAATTTAAAATAATGATAGAGCGATATTTTTAGCTTGAAATATAATGGTGCTAGACATAGATAAAAAGAAGCATGTTATAAGTTTTTGGCATGTCATTGACTCTATTCTGACCCAATGACGACTACGGGAAAATAGTGATTTACTGCATTTTGCCCTTTTCTGCTAAGTCAGGCGTCTCCCCGATTCGTACTAAAAATGTCATCCTCACTCTAGTTTAAGTTTCTTACGGTGAGAATCATGCTGGGAAAGAAAAAGATACTAACATTTCAAATTTTCAAACTTTTGGCTATGTATTCATGACAGTGAAGGGTAAATAATCATTTTTAAAACTATAAAAATTTTAACCTATTTTTGAATTATTTATTTAAAAGCAATTTTAAGAAATGAAGAGGTATTATAACAAAACATTCAGTGACATTTCGTAAACAATCGATTTCTGAGTTTAATTACGGACTAAGACCTTTTTAAAAAAATAAATAAAGCATTATCAATCAATTTAAATATAATTATTTTAGCTACAAAAATGTCGTAAAAATGGCATAAAATTGTTTTTATTTTATTTAAGAGCTGAATTTTTAAAATTAACTAAACCGTTTATATGAGTTTAAGTAATATATGCTTTTCAATTACCCGAATGGGATTTTATAAGTGATAGAAATAAATGTTTATCTTTGATGTCAACATGAGCATAGGTTATGCGTATTTGTATGATACTTTAGAAGTCGAAACATTCATCAGCTGTTCCATCAGAAGAGACTCGCAGACTTAAAAACTCATGAATATTAAAACCGAATTACTATGATCACATCACTGAGCTAATAAATCCCATAAGAAACAACGTAGTGTGATTCTGTAATTTCTTGAATCAACGATTACTCTAGATTTGTAGTTATTATGAGTGATTTCAAAGGTTCTTAATTTTACTGAAACCAGTTTTCAGATTTTTAACGGAAAATAATGTTTATCTCACCAAAACTATGATCAGATTCCATTTATCTCAAATACAGCAAAATTTACGGTAATTAGAAAGAACTATCAATAGTCTGACACACTACAGCCCATCTTTTCAAACCGTCATCTCCAAATGTGTTGCTATGTTACAAGCATTATTTCTTATGATGTTTTAAAATTTTGACGTGAAATTTTCTTGGAACTTTAAATATTTATTTCGTTGCTATATTTATCTTCTCGATAGTATTTTCCATTTGCAAAGTCATTTTTTTAAAATGCTTCGCATTGAATAACTCTTTAGAAATTAGTTTATATTGAAAAATTGCAGTAGCATTTCGCTTTAAGCAGAAACTTTATTCCAACGCAAGTTGGTTCTCTGTACTGTTTGAGTCAATGCAATTATTATATAATAGTGAATGGTAGAATTGGGAAACAAAAGAGATCTTAATGAGACTTAGAGCTCTAAATACCATTATATAAACGTGAAAAATATAACGCAAAATCATAAAAATATACTATATTATTTAGAATTGAAAATAATTTTCGGAAAGCTTTAAAAACAATTGCAAGAACATTTTCACAATTTCTGTCAACAATTTACTCTTTTCCATTCTCTTAAGTAGGCAATTTAGGAAAGTTTTAATCATCTAAAGAGCAAAATAACTTCTCCGACAATGAAAACTATTGCAATGAATTTAATAGAAATACAATTTAAAGTACCATTATATAGGTTTGAAAAGTATCCCCATGCGAAATTATAAGACAGATTTTTCAAAAGAATTAAAAGCGATTTTCAGAAAGCTTTAAGAAACAGTTGTAAAAGATAGTTGCATTTTTTTCAGTCAGCAATTTACCATTCTGTGTTCCCCAAAGTTTGCCTTTCAGATAATTAAATAATTCCTAATTTGCAAAATAACTTCTTTGACGATGAAGACTAAGACTATTTTTCTAGATTTACAATTAAAAACACCATTATGTAAGTTTAAAAACGATAACAATGCGAAATAATAAAATTATTTTTTTTTAAAAATTAAGAGCAATTTTCAGGAAGTTTTAAGGAACATTTGTAAAAATATTTGCATAATTTCAATCAGCAATTTACCGTTCTCTACTCTTCTAAGTTGGCAATTTAGGGAATTTTTAATTATCTGAAAGACGAAGCAACTTCTCCTCTGCTTTGACTAGAAATGCAATTCAAAATTCCGTTATATAGGTTTGAAAAGTATCGCTATATGAAATTATAAAATAGAATTTTCATAAGAAACGAAAGAAATTTTCAAAAAGTTTTAAGAAACAGTTTCTGAAGAACATCTGTGTAATTCCAATTAACAATTTACCGTACTCTATTCTCAGCAAAATAACTTATTCCACAATGAAGACTAAGACAAAGATTTTACAGAAATTATAATTTAAAATTCCATCATATAGGTTGAAAAGCATATCAATGTGAAATCACAAAATAGATTTATCTCTAGAATCAAAAACCCTTTTCAGACAACTTGAAGAAAGAGTTATTGAAAAAAATAATCACATGATTTCAGCCAAAAATTTATAGTTCCCTATTCTCTTGTGTTGGAAATTTAAGAGAACATTAATTAGCAAAATAAACACATGAAAAACCAAAATAACTTGTCATACAGTAAAGAATTTCCCAGTTCTTTCAAAGTATCAAATTCAATTCCGTAAAAGAACACCAAAATAAATGCCAAAGTTGGCTGCTTTAATTAATTCTAAATATTTGTCTTTGAATTAAGTTTTTTTTTATTTTCCATTTATTTCATAAAATAATTTCGCCTGAATGAAAAAGCCTTTTAAAATACGGCAGCCTTTTGAAAAATGCCGTTAATTTAGCTGGATTATCTAGTAAAAGATGTTCTCAGCAAGTATGTGTCAACGTCAGCTTAAAACGCGTTAAAAATTGGGGAGCTACTTTAACGAGAAAGGCTGTTAAAGTGGAAGGGAGCCGTTTTTCATTAAAGTAACAAATGAACGCTTTGAGCTGTGGAGAAATTTTTAAACAAATCTAGCTGAAAATTCATTTCATGCTTTGTGTGTTTTAACACTGGTTAGTGCAAAGTGGAAAACGTTTTCACACTATTTTTTAATGGAACATAATCCTTTAAGAATAAATTAGATCCGTACACGTTAAACAAGTTTCGCGAATGAGGATGCAGCTTTTTCGTATCTTTTCAACTAAAATGCTTGGATCTATTAAAATTTAATTAAGATTTTTATTGTAAATGGAAAAATTAAATTTGCTTTTTTGTGCACACCTGATTTAGATTCTTTCCTTTTAAAAGATTATTCTGTCAACAAATGTCTGATTAATGTTTGGACTTATTTATTATTTAAAATATTGTTCACATCTGAAGAATTTTAATTGTTTAATTAAATAGATTTTTCAGAATTACTTACAACTTTAAAAAGTCTTCTAGCACTGTGCTTAATAAAAATATTTGCATCATGTAATTATAGTTTTTAAATTGAAAAGTAATGATGTGTAAAAATATTGAATCAGACTGCCGGTTCTTCACAATTAATAGTTATCTTCAATATTAGTTCAAAATGTGAAAGTAATCTATTAAATATGAAATTCAGAAATTTTGAAATTGAAATAATTTTCTTACTGTTTTGTGCAGGTATAATTTAACTGTTATAGGATGATATAAGTGATAGAAATAAATGTTTATCTTTGATGTCAACATGAGCATAGGTTATGCGTATTTGTATGATACTTTAGAAGTCGAAACATTCATCAGCTGTTCCATCAGAAGAGACTNATATATATAATACTTTTTTTATATTAATTATTGTACAAGGACATTTGCAAACCAAAAAAATAACTAATTCACCTTTATACTACATATCAGGTACAATAATTACAATGCTTGTATTCTACATTACTTCCTGCATACTATATACTATATTAGGTATGAAAATTATTGATTTGAGCATTGTATTTGTATAATATATTTTTACCTATACTACAAGATAGCTATTGTACTAAAATATTTATATCTGAATACTACAGGATATTAATTATCGCATCAAAAGAAATGTATCTGAATACATTAGTGTATTGAAATAGCAAGTAAGTATCTGCTTGTACCGTAAAATATTGCAATTGCATTTGAATGATAAATAATTCGTTTCAGACAAAACCCAGTAACATTATTAACTTAAAAACATGTACAAACCATGACAATTTAATAGAAGAGTTGAGGAAATATAATTAAATATTTTATTCTAAATTACCATCACCACATAAAACTAAATATTATACATTAAACTACCATCCCTACATAAAACTTAATTTCTCTTTTTTCTTCTTTATATTTTCATTATTCGATGCACATTTTGTTTTATAAAGTATGTAACCAACATTCTGTGAATAAATGTTACAGTTTGGGCCACATTTGTACTGGACAGATTGGCATACAAAGTCTATTGAAAGAGTGGATATAGAAGGAGGTAGGAATAGAATAGTAATTAGAGACAACATTGAATACCTCATGGAAATAAAAATGGTTGCCTTGTCCAGACAAACAGGTATCTCAAACCAAACGTAAATAATTTCAGTTTAGTGTTTTGAGTCCTTATTAGAATTTACCATTTTCAATATAATATTATGAATGCTTTTTCTAGGTACCTCTATCCACCTATTTAATAATTATAAACTCTTTACTCATTACATAAAGAGCTTTAAAATTTTAATGTATGTTTTGACTTATAGTTTTTAAGTTTTCTCTATGTTATATTACCATATTTAATACTACTTATCTATAGCTTAATTGGTAAAAACATTGTCAGAAATTTACAAATATAGGCATAGGAAAAACTAATACATATCTACTAATATAGGCCATAATGAATACTACTATTGTCCACTTCAAGATAGTGATTACATCACAGAATGTTATACAATTATGAACTACAAGATAATAATAATAGATATGTACCTGTATACTACAAGTTATTGATTATTGAATAATAAGATATGTATAAGTATACTGCCAGGTATTGATTACGATTACCAGGTATTGATTGCCACGATTTTCAGCAGCAACATTGCACAATGTGATAAATATTGCAGTAAGCCTGCAAAATCATTGCTATAGGATTAATCTGACGTGCAGCAGAATACATACTTTTATATTTTTTCCAAACAGAAGCGACTGCTATATGATGATAAAAGTGGCAAATAATTTTTGAGAAGAAATTCGAGAAGGAATTCACCGGTTTCCTAAATAGTACATTTCAAACTGTAAATTTACCTCTTTCAATTTGAATTAAATTTTTACTCGATTTAAAACTAACATTTAAATGTTAGTTACTTATAATATATTAAATTTAAATTAATAATTTTCAATTTAAGTTTAATTTTTTAATCGTCGTCATGTTTTGGATTTCCTGTCTCTTCGCATTTCAGCATTTTTTTTTTAAATGCATATCCTACTGATGTCATTATTTGAAAAAAATATCATACATTTTTTTTGTTTAGTTTTCTTGAATTGCAGACTTAACATTAAAATGCGCTGATGTAATCTAATTTATTTTTTAATTTAAGAATTATAAAAACAACTTTACTTACTCACTCAAATTATTCAGATTAATATAAATTAAACTAATTTCACGAATGCCCATTTACAAAAAAAAAAAATTTAATATCTTCTTTTTTTTTCATTTCTAACTTGAGAATGGTAGGAAATAGTGTTTCACGGTTAATCTTTTCTTCTACGCATTTAAAAAATAGTTTCAGTATTCAGAAGCTGTTTGAAGAAAGCAAAGTAATTTACATTTTTTACGTAATTTCCAAATGGATTTCGTTTTTAAAATATATTATAAAATTACCTTCCATTAAACCATCAACATTTATTTAATTAATTAAATAAATAAAAAGAATTTTTTTAGCAAAGCTGTCTACCTTTGCATTCATATATCTAATAGGATTTTTGTTTCTAGAATTACAATTTGTTTTACCTTAATGAATATAAATTTAGTCTTATTATTTTTGATGTCCCTATAAACAATAAAAACATTTTTTCCTTGACATGATTTTTTTTTGATTAAATAACTTGTTTTAAAAACTGAAACTATATGTCATATTTTTTTTTTCTAAATTAAACAGTATAGAAGAAAATATAGACTTTTTTTGCTTCATCGATATACACGATGATTATGAACATTTATTTTTATTTTTTTAATTTATTTTTGATATTGTTCATTCTGAAAAATTAATTATGTGCAAAGAAATATAAATATTACCTGCACTTTACCAATATCAGAATTATAATATAATAACATGAATATAAACTTTTTAGTGTTTATATATGACTATTTAAATTTAAATTTTATATTTATGTTTCAAAACAAGCTAATTAGAATTAACTAATATTATCTATCATCATGAATACAAAGTAATATTTTTATACACAATATGTAACAATTAAATTCTTAAAGGGAACTTTAAAAAATAATCGAATATTTCATAGCTTTTGTCTTGTTTCATGCATTGCAAAAATAATGCAAATGAATAAGGTATTAAGATAGTAAATTGCATAATTTTGTTTATTAAATTTGAAAAGACCAATTACAGATTTTGAGACAGAAAAGACGTGCGTTTAAATGTCATTCATACACCACGGCATCAAGAAGATTAATTTATTTATTCGTTTCATGATATTTTTAACCACTACTGACTGAAATTAAATTTTTTGAACAAAATTTATATTAAATAAAAATTTTAAACTTATACACTCAATTACAACCACAAATAAATATGAAAGCATGAGTATAAGAAAAAAATCTAGAACACCTTTTTTTTAAAAAAAAAATTGCTATTTATAATTTATGCATAAAATTAATATTTTATTAACTCTTGGTTGGTAAACAATAATATCACATTTTTGCCTTTAAAGTAATATGCATATATATATAAAATACTTGTCAAAAATGAGGCAAAAAAGTTCGCGAATTAATATTTAAGAAATAGCAAAGCAGAAATACTATGAATATTTGACAAATCAGTATCGAAGATGGTGAATATGATCACTTATTTAGAAGTATATTTTTCACTTGATTTTGGATATAGGTCTTAAAATTATATATTAAGGACATTTATAAAATAAACCCCAGTATATTCTTAAGTTGTTTGACCACATCTTATCTAGTATTATTTTTTTCTGGCATTTTAAATCTTTTTAAAGAATAATTTATTGTACAATAAGAAGTTCTTAATGCTATTTTACTAGTGTGCACCAAGCTTTTTTCATGATATTTTGATCTAATTTCTTGACTTCGAAAGTTTAATGTAATTTTAATTCATTCACTTCCATTGAAATGATGAAGAAAAAAAATTTATCCAAAAGAATATGTTGATTTAATTTTAAGCTCCAACTTTTATAATTTTTCAGAATTCATGAAAACATCGCTTTTTTTCCAGTAGCTCTCGTTATTTTAAATAATATTTCTTTAGAAAATAAGATTACAAGTATAACTTATTTTTTACTATCTAAGTTAAGTTCAGTTATCTATAAATTTAATGTAATCCATATTTAAAGAGTTGGTTATGGTTTACAGGTAACAACCCGTGTGGCGAACTAAATGGAGGATGCAGTCATCTGTGCCTCTTTCGACCCCACGGGCACGTCTGTGCTTGTCCGTCCTATCCTGATAGCCGACCCTGCTCCACGGGTAAGTGAACCCCGTAGCATAATTTCTGCGTTAAAGAGAATCGTGACATACAGGGAAATGAGAAAGGTCATTTTAGTGCTCTGTGATAGAATAACAAAATAGCCAAATTTCTTTTATAAGAGCTTATCTAAGATAATGGAAAAGGAATTCAGTTTCGTTGCTTATAACGAGAATTATTCAAAAAAATAGTGTTGTATTTTATTAAAAAAAGAATTTTATTCTTATAAAATACTGTTATTATTAAGCACAACAAATATAATTAAAGATTTCAAACTCGGTAATTTGTTTAGGAAAAAAAATTTTTTTTTCCTTTAAGAAAAAAAAAATATTGAAGGTAACTTGTATTTTAAGCACTGCCTTAAAAGAAAAAAGACAAGAAAGGCGAAAAGAAGAAACAATTGAGATGACTGAAAATATTTTTGTATTGCCATGCACAAACTGAATCTTATAGTAAATTTGATATATTTTGAAAAAGAGGAGGAATTAAAAGATAAGATCGAGCTAAGAGAGATTAAAAAGCTACGCAATGAGATAATGAGAAAAACCACCAAACATCCCCTCAATTAGCAAACAGTGAAAATACACCATAAAATCGTCCTTGTAGTATTTACATTATAGTGTAGGGTGATCATAGTTAAAATTCACTTGTTTATATCCATAAAGAGTTAGTTTTGGTTGACTGAAGTCAATGGAACTTGATATGTATGGCATATAGATCATGTGTAAAATCAATCTGCAATATAATTAGTCCAAACTTCTTCCACCAGATGAAAAATAGAGTGCACGAGGAGCAAGGCACATAATTATTGAATCATAGCATATACCAATGTGCCTTTAATGCTTGTCAAGTACATGTCCAAAAACTTCTTACAGCTTGCTCATGTGTTCAACTATATTTCCCAGGTCTTCGCAACCAATTGCAGCATAACTTGACATATTTATTCTCGCAGTGCTATTAACAGATTATTGTCCTTCTGATAAAACAGTTTAATAAGAAATGCTCGTTCTTTCTTCCGCAATGGCATGAAGGAGAATCATTAAGACAGTGACTGATCTTCCTAAAACTGTGCCAAAATTGCACAAATTCTTCCTCGCACATGGAAAGCACCATCTATTGGCTGAATTTTAAGCTACTTTTGTATTTCAGTTTTCATTTCTCCACTGTCCGTATAACATGTATGCCAAGTTTAATGATTAATCAAAAAAGAAAATCTATTTGGGTTCAAACAGAGTTAATTTTTTGTACGACGTAACTTACCTAACATTGAATCATTTTATGTTAATTTCAAAACAACACGAAGTTGCGATTTGATATTGAAAAATACAGCATGCTCGGAATCATTGAAAAATAATATCGTCCTCGCAATCATTTGAAAGTCCTTAAAAAAATCGACACTTAAATTCAAAATAAAAATGTTGCAGTTAATCTCACACATGAAAAAAAAATTATAATACTTCTTAATTATCGCCATCCGTAATTTTGATAACATAATTTAATAGATAATATCTGCAAAGCTAATTTAATTATTGGAGTAATAATTTTAATTTTTAATTAATTTAATTAAATATTAACTTATATAATTATATTTTTTATAATTATATATCTTTTATTTTCTCATATAATATTATAGTTTGATGTTCTCTTTAAAAAAATGTGTTTTTAATTAGAAGGGCAGCGAGTTAGGTTGTATGGGTGTTATGTAATTTTTTATCTCATAATTATCTGTTAAGTTTCTAGGAACAATTGTTAAGTTTCTTAGTTAAAATAAAGTTTTTAATCGTTAAAATTTTTTTTAAATTTCAGTTTTCCGTTGAATAAATTTAAAAGGAGAACCGTTTCTACATACTAATAAAGCTTTATCGGCATTCATATAAAGCAGTGGTGTGATAATTAAAATTTTCTATCTATGCAAACTTATTGAAAAAAGTCTCTTGTCCAATAAATTCGAACTATTGGGGAAAAAAAAACTTTTATAATTACTATCTTTGAATATTTGAGTAGAGAATTTCCTAAACATGACCCTTTGTTGTTCCTTTTTTTTTTGAAAAAAAAACTTTTCAAAATGTAAATATTAGCTTTCCGATTATTATAGAAAGTCACGTTCTATTTGGTTGGTGCTTATGCAAACAAAATTTGTTTTTCAAAATCAATAGCAGTGGTTTATACTTATGAGAAGTATATTTTTTCCTATCTTGTGAAAAATTGTTGTTAAGCACCATTTTTATACCCAGAAAGACGTATGATAATGTTAAATACTGATGTTTATGATAATGTTGAGTTAAATATACCTTACAACATGAATAATGTTAAATACTGTTTATTACATTGGTCTTAAAAGTGGAAATATTTTATTATGAGTTTAAAAAAAAGTTTGAAGCAATACTTAGTTTTTGCATTTCTTTTCACTTAATTTTTATTGGTTTTGGAGAATAAACGTATAAGTATCAATAAGCAATTAAAAACTAAAAAAAATTACCAATAAAACAGTAAAAAAAAATTTTTTTTTTCGTCGTAAGCGAAAATTGACTTAGAAGTTATTTCATAAATTCAATCTTTATTATGTCTCGGCATGATTGCTCCAGAAATTTTTATCGAGGACAATTTCATTCACCTCTTTTTTAATAGAACATAATAAAGTAATTTTACTAACGAAATTACAAAAATTGTTTTATCCTTTTCGAAAAAAAAATTTCAAAAAACATTTTATTGATAAACCTCCACTTTTTGATATTTTATCACTAAAAAACCAAAAAAATAAAATATTTTTAAAATTTTGTGTTGAATTATTACTAAATAATTCTTAATATTATGTAAGGAAAAAATTGCTTTTATGGGGTCAAATTTATTTTTGTGCAAGAGATTTTAATTTAAATAATACGATGATTTTTATACTAAATGCAATTAGTAGTAAAAGAATTACAGAAAAAATTATATTAAGCATTATTATCTACACTTTTCCATTCCACTTTTATGCAAAATCACATAAAAAACAATGTACCCATCCGTGCATCTGATAATATGCCCAAGCAGTTTTTATTTATTTCACAATTAACCATTTGTTTTTCAAAGCATTTCAAAGGCGTAGCAGTACGTTTAAGGTGTTAAAGTGCTGATTTTTGAAATAGTTTAAGTACTAGCGAAGGCTGACTACATTATCTTTTCTTTACTACCACAATTTTTGTGGTTTATTTTATATATTTATTTATTTTTACTAGTATTATCTCTTATTTTGTGTCAGATACCAACCAAACTAGGAAACGAACGCACCATGTTGAAGATTGTATCAATAGCGATCAATTCGCTTCGAGAAAAGGTTGCAAAGCAACCACCAGGATTTCTCACTTTGATTAAGAGAGGAAGTATTTCCCTAACGTATGAAATTAAATACTTTTTTTTTTAACAAAGCGTTGCAAATATTTCTCAAGGCCGAAAAAAAAGCGTGGAATTTGTATGATTAAAAAATATTTTCTGTGTTGGTACTGCAAATAATAATTAAATATTTCTTACCGTTTTGTGTATTTTATAGTGCCTGGTGAAATATTACCTGAGCCAACCAAAGTTGCTGACTCAGATGAGGTGGCTACTTTAATAGAATCTTCAGTGCCTACTGCAATGCCTGCAAATAATAACAGTACACGGTAATTGAGTTTCATTCGAAAATAGTAACCATTTTAAATATATAAATACTTGTATAATAAAATATTATAGATATAAAAGCACATGCAAAATAAAACAATCTACATTTTTCAAATTGTTCAGGAGAATGGTTCTGGGCGGATGCTCCTTTATATCCATATAGTCAGTAATACATAGTTAAGTTGTATTGTTCTGCCATCTGGTAATAAATTTCTAAAATTTATAAAATGTCAACCTAGAAACAGTTCAAAGGTGTAGTTTGATGTGAAAAGGCTACCTCCTAAAAAGTGGGTGTTTGAATATAAAGCCTTCATGCAGTAATTTACAAATTATAATTGTATAAGGATCGATGTGCTTTACTTATACTTACTACACTTTCCTGGATGCCTCTAGCTTCGCTTATACTTACTACACTGCCCACCGATAAGTATTTGGATATCCATGTATATTGATGGAAGAGTAATTATAGTCAGTGGTATTTCTCTTTGTAAGGATTCATACTTTCGGTCCAAATTCATGATAAGTTCATTGCTGACACCTACTTTTAACAACAGTGTGCATCCAACTTTGTGAAAGTTTAACTGGTTGAATTGTTACCTTCAGGAAGACAAAGCTAGCTGGTATATTATGGGTTAGTATGGTAAAGACGGAGTCAATCAGATGAACTGATCTACACAAACCCATACTGAGAATATTTGGATCGAATTGGCTCGACGAATTGAGGCATACAGTAGCTATCATTAATTGCAAACACCCATCAATAAACATTTGAACGTATATAGAAAAGTAAATTCAAATTTATTCATATTCTGTAATTTGTAGAGCCTCCAGAAGAAGCGATTAAGTTAATCCTCCTTTCTACAATTCTCCAATTCGGCTTGAAGAAGAGTAGTAAGTTTCTTCACCAATATTGAATTATTCGACAATGAAGCTTGTCTCGGGGGCTCTCTGTAGATTTTAGATCTGGGTTCTGAACACGCCAGTTCTTTTGGTTAACCAAACTAACGCCATATTAATTAAATGCACTTACATAAAATTATGAATATTTTATATTTTACAAACAAAATAATCCTTTTTTTAAATCTAATTTGAAGAAAAAAAACAATAATGAATGAGGAGCAATCTTGTCCAAATCAAAATATTTGATGGTCCCATGAATAATTTTTTATGATTTATGTTGGTTTCAGTGCGATTCACGATGATCCAAATTCATTTGATGGCCACCATCATCTAGCATTTTCCATTTTGTGTTCATGGTTTCCGATATACCAACTGCCATCATTCCATGATCGAAAATGCTACTTTTTTACTATGATGGTTAACCATCAAGGTTGGTTACATGATGGTTCCAACTATACATTTCCATGATTGTTTAATGGAAATTTTTTATTGGTTCTCAGAAATATAACTTCAAAACAATTTGGGTTATTCTTTTATGCCGGACCACCATAAATCAATCCGAATTCCTACATAGGGATGATGGTGGTTCCTGATCGTTCCAACATTTGATTTTTGAAATACTATTATGGAAATTCGTGATGGTTCATAATGGTACAGCAATGCATTTCCACGATGGCTTAATAATAACTCTTGTTGGTTCAGCAGGAATATACTATCAAAGCAATAAGGTTTTTCTTATGTTGACTTATCATAAATTAGTCCTAATTCCTACATTGTGGTGATGGTGGTTCATGACCGTTCCAAAATTTGATTTCAAAGAAACTACATTGATGGTTACTTATAATGGTTACCATAAAAAATATAATGGTTCATGATGGAATTATTCATGTTTACCATCAAGATTATTTTGATTCATCATTGGAAAACCATCAAAAAAGTTTGACTTGGGTGGTGGCTTGCGAGCGGCACGAACAGTATGCAGATCTTCTAATGTTTTAAATTTGTAAAAGAAACAGATATTTGATTGTAAATAATTACCTAAAACGTTGTTTTAATTTCGATGTTCGCCAAATAGCACTAGTTCTAACATCAACCTTATATTTTTGACGCTATTTTTATTATCTGATTGTTTTAAACCAAAAAAATTAGCTTATGATGCCAGGATTGTGTTAATCTTCATTTGTTATAAAATATGCACATTTGTTTTTAGATGTACTGAAGTAGATGTCTTAAATGGACGCTGCCATCTAGGTTTCACTCCACATGGTAAAATTTATTTAAATTTATTCACTCCACACATAAAAATTTATTTAAATTTATTCTCACCACATGATAAAATTTATTTAAATTTATTCACTCCACACATAAAAATTTATTTAAATTTATTCTCTCCACATGATAAAATTTATTTAAATTTATTCACTCCACATGGCAAAATTCATTATAAAATTTATTTACTTACAATATCCGGCTTGATTTTTCTTTATAATAAACTGCTTACTAACTTTTTCCTCATCTTAAATTGAAGTAAAAAAAATTGTTTGTGATTTGTTGTCTATTTGTTAGAAACTTCGTAAAATATTTAACATGATTCTGCAGATGACAGCAATTTAGTTTCATAAAATTCATTGGTTTCATAACCTAAAATAGTGTAGATTACCTAATATATGTGGATACCTAAAATATTTAACACGTTGCTGCAGCTGACGGCTATTTAGTTTCATGGAAGTCAATGGTTTCATTGCTTACCAGCACATTTTAATTAATAACAAAGGAACATCATTAGTTCCAAGTTTGCTAATGCAATTATTAATTAATTTTTCTGAAATACTTTAAAAATAGATGTAATATTCCAGATAATATAAATTGTTTCTCTTTTTCGGAGGGGGGAGAGAAAATGTCGTGATAAGCAAATGATTGTTACCACCATGCTGAATAAATTTTTGAATACTTGCAAATGACGTCACGCATGTGTGTCGAACCGGATTGGCTGACGAGTCCTAACGTAAACAAATGAGATGATTTACCTACACTTGGTATCACTTATAAGTATCCAATAGAAACATGGGTTTCTGAGCACAAACATTAAGTTAAAAGTGTCCAACAACGTGTTAAAAAAATGCAGCTATGGAAATTATTGGGAACATTATTAACGATAAAATCAGTAGCAAACGCAATAAAACTTAAAATTTAGGTGAGTCAAATAATTTATTCAATTTGAAGTAATATTGAAACGAAAAAAAAAATTTTCTTAATCATGACAAAATTAATCCTATTCTAACAAAAAAAAATTATAATTTAATTCTTGTTATTTAAAAAAAATTGTAGCATTTCTTTTAAAATATGATCAGGGTCAACATTTTCTTGACGTTGTTTATAATAGATTACAAAGCAATTTAAATCTGGTGCCTCAATCGAATTAGAATGAAGGTTCCTTATTTAAATGACATGACTCTCAAAAAAAAAAATAATAATAAATTAGGAACGTAAATAAAATGTAGGAAGAAAACAGACAGGGTGGAACGTTCTCAGAATATTTTGTCCAAGGCATTCCTGTAGATAAATGTCAAAATTAAACTGTTACACAATTTCAATTATTTTATACCATTTTAGATCATTATGTGGTTTAATAATTATTATTTAAGAGAGGGCACCGGCCGGGGTAGCCTGGTCGGTGGGGCACTGAACCCGTGTCCGAAAGTTCGTGGCTTCGAACCCCGCCGACCGAAAACTCCCAGTGTAGTAAATGATGACTGATGCACGTTAAATCCGTCGAGTCGCAAAGTCCCCCATGTTCCCATAATAAATCAAATCCTCCGGGGGTACTGGATTGGAGATCGATTGTTCTCTGATTCAGGTTAAAATTACGATCTGTGGATGAATGTATAGATGCATTAATGGGTCCACCGTATTAACGGGTGTGACGTATGTTTGGCAGAAATCAAATCCTTGACCATAGATGGCGCCACTGGAAAACAAGAACAATCGCACCCCTCTGCCTAAACAGGCATACGAAAGCAAGCAAGAGAGGGCACCGAAACTTTACCTTTTTTTTTTACATGTATTCTACTTTTCGAGAACTAGCTCATAGGTTTTCACTTTAATTCTTATTCAGCTACTATGGTTTTTCATTTTTATGCGTATTGGATATTTTTCTTGTTGCTATTTCTGTTAGCATTTCATATAATTTTTAGCTTTGTGAAAATTTTTCACAAATGGTGTTGATTGAATATTAGAATGATACTCTTAAAAACTGCATCAATGCATTTGGATCTAATACTGATCTAATACTGTTTAAAACTTGATAAAGGTAAACATTTATAAAGTTATAAAATATTTTAATTTCATTAATTTTAATGTTAACAGTAAGTACATCAGTCCTCTTTACAAAAGTCCTTTTAGTAAGTCCTCTATACAAAATTTCACGAATTTTTATTTATGAGCTGCTTAGTTTAATATAATACAGTTTTCTTTCAAAAAAATTAATAATTAAATAAAAAAAAGTTTTTTGTAAGGTGTATGTTTACTAGTATGGATAGAGAATGTAGTAAATGTGTTAAGAAACATGATGTTTGTATCTCAAAGTTGAAGATATTTTAGGCATTTTCCTCTAACTTATAATTAGTTTTGTTCAAAAATAAATTGTGCTTTCACAAATAAACATCAATTTAATATTTAAAACAGTATATTTAGAAATATTGCATTCATAATTTTTTATAAAGCTTTGTGTTTATTTAGAATTTATAAATTTTACGATGAATTTATATATTTTTTGGATGTTTCTAATTTTTGATATATATATAAAAACGTATACTCTTATATTTAAATTAGTTTAGGCGCATTTATATAAGAATTTTGTGCATATACAAAAAATTTTAAAGTCAAAACTTTCTTCGATACAAATTCAAAAATAAAAACACACTTAACAGCATAAATAAGTATAAGACAGAAATTGATATATATTTAATGTTAAACTTGATTCGTACATTAGAAACGCATATTTTCCTCAAATTTATTTTTAAATCTTTAAAAGTGTTACTTCAAAATACTCATATATTTATAGTAAAAAGAATTGTGTATTACAATTGCCCGATAGGATCATAATTTAAAAAAGGCAATTATTGTTGCATTAAAATGCTTTTGTAATGTTAATTTTTTATTCTCTTTTTATTCCTTGATTATTCATTGTGTTATATTAATTTTGATGTTTATTTTACATTTATAGATCCTATACTACAAACTGCTTACATAGCTTTAAGTGTTTTACTTCTACTAGTAGGGATTGTTTTAATAATAGCTCTTATTTTTTGGAAAAAGAAGTAAATATAATTCTACTTTATCTTTTTTCATTATTTTCATTATGAATACTTCTTGGTATATTTGCATTTTTGAATTTTATTGTTTAATTCTTATGTACGAATAAATGGTATTAAATAAACTAATTAATTGAACTTATAAATTACACCGGCTATGTCATAATAATCACGAATTGCAAAATAACTCATTGTTAGAAATGTCCTAAAATTATAGGCCAACCGTTGTTTACGTGCACTAAAACTAGTAATTTATCTAAATTACCTTAATTTTATGTTTCCTAATGATTATTTTCAATAGGTACGAAAATGTATAGAAATGGCTGTTTTATCTGTGTTTAGGGATTTAGTTGCCGATTTGAGACCTACGTCAAGTTTGTTGGCAAATCATTAAATAACAAGAAAACTATTTATTTTGTAAAAATGTAATGAAATTTTCAAAAATGATAGTTTTTTAACATAAAATTAATGTATACATGGCTAAAGTTACCAGCTTAAATGCGCATGAACATCCAGTTCATAAATGGAAGACTACTAGACAATACAATGCGTACAAGAACATTTCCTGACAAGTTTTTCAATGCAGATGGTTAGTCAAGTTGCAATATAGTTTTCAGTTCGTATGATGATCCCTATGTCTCTCAACAGCTCGGATCTTTAGTTTTGTAACATTATGCATGTGTCTTTCCTGTAAAAGATATATTAATCTAAGTAAAGTGCGTACAGTTCAAACCCAAGTCAAAATTCTTGATGGTTCCATCAAAGAGCTTTGATGGTTTATGTTGGTATCAATACGATTCATGATGGTCACCATCGTTCAACATTTTCCATTACGAATTCATGGATTTTGCAATCCTAACAAACTTCTATCATTCCATGTTGCAAAATGCTACTTTAATACTATGATGATTGACCATCAAGAGAAGTTTGACTCTCATGGACCATGCAATCCATGATGATCCGCGATGTTTGAAGATGGTTCCAACTATACACTTCAATTCCTGTTGGTTCTCAGGAATATACCATCAGAACAATTTGGATTTTTTATGTTGAACCATCATAAATAAGTCAGAATTCCTAAATTGGGATGGTGGCTCTTCATGATCATTCCAACATTTAATTTATAAGATACTATGATATAAATTCATCATGGTCCAACATGAGCAAACTATCAAAACAAGTTGCTAGTCTTAGGTCGGACCATCATGAATCAGTTCAACATTGAGGTGATTGTTTCTTATGTTGGTTACCATCAAAAAATATTATGGTTCATGATGGAATTATTCATGGCTACCATCAAGATTCTGTTGGAAAACCTTCAAAAATTTTGACTTGGGAAGCCAAGATTTATAATGACTAAAGAAGAGTATCATGAAACAGAGGAAATGACTACTGTATTAGTTAAAGCTTACATACAAGTAAATCGGATTTAGACCGTGGACAATATTTATCCGCAGTCTGGAGCAAGTTGGTATCGCTGGGTTTGATTCACTTAAAAAAAAATTCTCATCTTTCTTAATATAAGGATATTTTAATTAAAATTAACTCACATTAGATTTTGTCTGATAATTAGTTGATATTATTTATTCTTATCGATTTCAAGTTATAATTTTTATACTTTAATTCTAAAATACCTTTTTTATTTCAGATTTTTCATTAATGTAATATATAAAAGAGTGTTTTAACCCACTAGGAGAGTTAAAATGAGAATAATGAGTTAATAAAACCTAAAGAACTTATATCAAGCTAAAACAAACGCGTCTAGATAGAAATGAAATATCTTGCGATTTCTCTTCGATTTCATATTCATTTGCTGAAAAATTAATGCGACATGGGATTCATCTTAATTTCATGCTGTAATCTGCTAAATATCTGCTTGATTCTGAAAAGGATTGGTCCACCCTTATATATTTTCTCTACCTTTCATGAACTTTTACAAAATCTACTGTTTTTCACATTTTGTATATGTTTACAGAGTCTAACTTCAACACCCCAAAACCTAAGATCAAGATAACTGGGTTGAGCACCGTAGACGGCTGCCCTCCTTGGGCTGTCATGCATTCGAGTTTAATTTTACAATGTCTTTATCACGATTTCTGACCTATTTTTAATTAGATTAAGTTTTTTGTTTCAATATTCGAATATTTAGGAGTTATAAAAAATGTGTTTGAAAGATAAGATCTTAAATTAGAAATATAAATAATTATTCTATGTTTTGTGTTATAGTAAAAAACGTCGGAATGAAGAGTTAGAATCGACTCTTACATTTTCAAACCCAACATACAGTGCCTCTAGTGGGGATGTCTTGCCAAATGATAGAAAAATATGGCCGTGGAAAAACCAGCATAGAAGGGATAAAAAGCAGGTAAATATCAACGATTCTCTACTCATAGATTTTTGATCTGACATTAAACACAATCGTTTTGTTTTCAAAATTTTTGTTCTAAAAGTGAATCTCATTAAAACCTAAACTTAGATGATTGTAATTCGAATCACACGTCAGACGTCACTTATTTGCATTTATACTTAAACTTAACTTGCATTTAATATTTTTTTCTTCTTAAATTGGTGAGAAAATATTCATTTTATCATTTAAAAAAAAACGATATATTTTTATCTACCATATTTTTCGTATTTAATATTTGCCAAGGCAGGGATAGCCTGGTTAGTAGGACATTGGACCCATGTCCAAGAGGTTGTGCGATCAATCAGCCCACCAGCCGAAAACTCCCCGTGTAGTAAATGGTAGCGGGTGCAAGTTAAATCTGTCTGGTTGCAAAGTCCTCCAAGTTCCCATAACAATTCAATACATCTAGGGTTACTGAATTGGAGATAGATCGTTCTCTGGTTCAGATCAAAATTACGATCTGTGGTTGAATAAATGGATGTATGACTGGATCCGCCCTCTAAACCGGGCTTTGACGTGTGTGTGGCTGAAGTTTTATTCTTAGCCATAGATGGCGCCACTGAAAATGCCCTAATACCTTAATCTCGCGTAGTTTCACCAAGTGAATCACCACTATTTATCTTGCTGATATTGGTAATCAGCATTAGAAACAACAACAACGTTATTTGTCGAATAATGCATCTAACCGTTTGTATTAAATTGGTTGTGCTTATATTTAACTAACTACTCACATAGCAGGATCATGCATAGCTCAATCACACATAGCAAAATGTATTCAAGAATGATAGGAGGCAAATTTTCCTGACTTTGAATAGCCACAAATTCATACAGACTTGAATACAATATTTCTCCCATTTGGGCCACATGCATGAAAAAAGATTTGAGCTGAACCAAAGATTTCTAAATTTCTATGCGCAGAGAATCAGACAAAATATGAGCTGATTTTGTTTTAAATAACGTGCGAAACAAATCGAAAATAGTGTTTTTATACATAAACTTGTGAACCATTTATCTTAGCATTTCAAATTTAGCCTCATTAAATTCAACAGAAGATAATTAAACAATAACTTTGTTTTTCAAGATAATATTAAAAATTCTGATCTCTCTCTCTCTCATATTCCCTTTCCCACTAAAAGCAAATCGGCGAAGTCGCACAACTTTTTACCACTCAATAAGAAGATTAGAATTTTTAGCAGCTTTTCGCAAAGTAGAACTTATTTCTTGTGGGATTTCAGGTTTGAAGTCTATTTTTACAGAAAAATCAGCTTTTCTATAAAATAATAATAAATGCTGAGCTTTATATAAATAAGATTTCTTTCTTTTCATAGTTCAGATTTTAATGTTCATAAAATCAACTTTCCTTCATTTTTAAATAATAAAAAACTTTTAAACTTTTAAAAGAACTTAAACTGTTAAAAAAAAACTAAACTTATAAAAAAACTAAATTGAATATTTAATGGATAAGAAGTTACGAAACACGTTTTAGATCTTCTTTAAAAAGCATTTTTCTTTTGCATCTATTACGAAGTTTAAATTTTGTAAAATAAAAGCATTATTTTCAACAAAAATCAAATATTGTTTTGAAAGGCTTGTAGCTTAAAACTTTACACAGTAAAAGTACAATTGAAAATAAAAATGGTAATTGTGCTCTACTTATATTTTTGTTAATTAATTTGACTTGAGATTTTTAAAAAAAAACAAGGATAGAAAAAAATTTCTTGAAACAAATCGGTTACTGATAGAAAAACATTAAAATTTGTAAAATTGCGAATCCTTTATTAATAAAATTCATAAATAATACTTTAATATCTTAATTCGTCTTAAATTTTTCTAACTTATTTTTTTGAAGTATACTTCAAATAATCTTAAAACAATAAAAAACAGGATTGTTTAAAAAGCTTTAAAATGTTTATAAATCTATGGATTATTTGGAAAAAAACTACTACTAAGTACTAATTTAAGTGTTAAATACTTCGAAAAATTGTTTCAAAACTAATAAAAAATTTTGAATTCATGAGTGAGATTCACCCTAAAACTCAAATTGATTTTTTTTGTTAAACTACATTTTATTTTTAAAATTTTATTAATTAAAAATATTTGTTCAATTGTGAAAAGATTTATGTACAAAGGTTTTTTTAAACATTAAAGAGAATTATTATTAGTATATTTCGTATTGGACTTAAAATTTGTGTTGCCTGTTATGTTAAATTCTAACTACTCTTAAACTATTATGTTCTGCAAACTATTATGGTCTTGCTTAAAATTTTGAACTCTAAAAGTTTTCACTAGAGAGAAAAATGCTTTTAAGAGGAGAAAAAAAATTCTAATCTATTTAATAAAAGGAAAAATGTGAGTACCCAAAAAAATCAAGTGCTCGTGAGGGTTTGTAAGTATAGCGAACAGGGGACAGAGCCCTCTAGTTCAGTGTTCCCCAGCCTTTTTATCACCGCGGAGCTGTGAATGTTTGATCATTTTACCGCGGCACACTGGAGAGGGGGGGATGTCGATTGTCTATATTTTAGATTATTTCAATTTGTTAATTTCAATTTAATAGTATTTAGACATGCCTTTGAAATAAAATACAGTTACACCAAAAAAATAGATATAAAGTGATTTAACATTTCAACTTACTACAACGTTAAATCACTGAGAACCCTGAGCTTGTTTCTTTGCAATGAGACTGTTCCATTTGGGGGAGGGGGGTAATCGGAGACAATGACATCCAAAGTGTGTTATGTCAGTTTATTCCGTTGCTTTGTTTTTGTTGCTGTTACTGCAGAAAACCACTCTTCACACAGATAGGTTGTCGGAAATGGCAATAGGGATTTAAGTGCTGGGGCAATCTCGAGGTATTTCGCCATGACTTTATTCCAGAACACCGGCAGAATTGTTCTCTCGAACGTAGTCTTAAGGCCGCCTTCATTTGCAATCTCTCCAGCAGTTGATCTTCTTTGCACAGACAGACATGCTAGATTCGCCCGATTTTTTTGACGAATGGGTCGTAGATCCATTCCTTACCAGATATTTTTAATTTGGGGGTATAAACATAGGAATTTAAATTCAGTTTCAATGAAATGGGTGGCCCAGTACCAGGTACCATTCCCACCGGACGTTGGGGAACACTGCTCTAGTTCTTAAATATTATTCTGAAGCATGTAACATTTATTTTTTTCATGATATAGGCTAGAATGACTCCCGGTGTTTGCAAAGAAGGCAAACTCAATAACCTCGAAGTATCCGCCCTTGTGAGCCATAACAAAAAACTTTCGAGCTTAGAAGTCCTCCACCCTCCGGCTCCTCCGCAGAGGATAGACAGCAGGCATAGCTTTGTAGCCCTCGGAGCCAGTCCCTGCAAGGCCCATCATCTGCCCATTGCCGGACACAGTCCCATGAAATACAGAACTGTGGAAACAGACATATGAAAAAACAAAACACAGCAAAAGAATCCATTCCTATATTATGAAGTCATCACAAGCCTTGGGCAACGATCAGCAGATTCACCGCCTTCAAGCCACGTGAAAGCACTAATATTGAGGATATATATATAAACAAGAGCATTTGCTACTTGAATATAAATATGAAATCAACCACGTCATACTTTTATCATAATGATAATTACCTTTATTGCATTGACATATGAAAGATAATTTACAAATGCGGTTTAAGGATTAAATATTTAAATTACCTGTTTCTGAATACCTTGTAAAGAGTTTGGATGGTTGTACTAGTTTATTATATACGAAAAATTATACAAAAAAGTTCTTGTTTTTGCCCCAAAATACTTTGTGAAGCTATTGAAAATTGTTCTTGATTTTTCTAGAGTAACATTACTTAAACATATTTTTGTTTATGGAAATGTTAGAAAAAATTGCTTATATTCCCAAATGCCTTGCAAAGTTAAAAATGTCTATGCTTGTTTTATTTGAAAATTATATTAAAAAAATGATTTTTAAAAAAATTCATTGTTTGAATGATAAAATAATGATGATGTAAGACATTGAAATTTCTGGTGTACAGTGAGACGTTTGTTAACTTTAGAAACTCGTAGTGAAACAAATAAATCGGATTTGTACTGATAATGAAAGTGATATAAATTCTATAAAATTGTTAATTTTTGAAAATGCTTTAATTCTGTAGTGTATTATAATGTGTTAATGTTAGAATAATTAAAAAATCTTAATTACTTCCTAACAATAGTTATTAATTCATTAAGTTAATTTCAGAACATTTTTGCCATACATTAGTTGCAAATCGACATTAAATATTATTGTAGACGTTTCTTATTTTCCTACAATTTCTTTAAATTGCAGTTTTAAGCAATGTAACGTATTGAACACCCCTTAAAATTAAAAAAGAATTAGGGTTACACCTGAGTATAATGCTAAAGTATATGATTATATGAATATAATGCTGCAAAAGTTATTCGAATGTTTTTTAAAGAAATGTTTATACACTTTTCAATTAAATTTGTAAGTTTTATCTAAATTTTCGCTGACATTTCTTAGATATTAAAATATTTTTCCCCTGATAACAATTAAATAAGACATTTTCTGAAGAGCATAAGGATAACATTGTAAGATTTTTTGTACGTATGTATTATTCTATCTTTTAATTATTGTTCACTTAAACCTGGAGTTAAATTTCGAAATAAACGTTTTTCTATTAGAAAGTTAACTAACCATCGAATTTATGTGCGTGCCTGAGTGGTTCCTCGTAACCTCGGTGATATCAACAAAACATTTATGACATATTAGGTCATTTCTAGTTTTTATCAAAAGAGCTTCAATGATGACTTTCTGTAAACCTTAAAAACCATACTCCGTTGCAAGTTAAGAAAAGACCACTGTGGTATAGAATTTAAGTAATAGGCTGCCTATAGTTATCATCGAATGCATCCGTTTTATTTCGTTATCAAATTATAAATATATGCTTCAAAACAATTTAATCCATTTCTTCTCGCTCCCATGAAAATGATGGGGTGAGGTTTCGCCCTCTATTTCTCGCTCCCCGGGTTGGAGTGTTCAGTAGTAACGCGCCAATGAGAATAAAACTAATTCATTTCTTTTTCCCGAAAAACATTTCATTTCTCATTTTGCACACCAGATGGCAGTACCAGGATATATTTAAGGTAATTGTAGATTGTTAGTTTATTTTAAACTAGATGTAAGCACTAATCATATACGTGTATAAAAAAACTAGGCACTTTTATGACCGTTTCCTTGAAAATTAACCGATCGTTAAGGGGTTAAGAACTATTAAAAGTTAAGCACGTCAAACAGAAATTTAATTCGTGCTATCTTTTACAATATATGACAAAATTATTAAAAGGTTACAGTTTCGAAGACTTACTGGAATCCTAGACTTGGTGACATATTTAAATAAATAAGGAGAGAGCCGGTGTGGCTCAGGGGATCAAGTGTTTGCCTTCTAATGAGGTGAACCGGGTTCGAATCCCATCAATGGCTGGTCGATACGAAACAATATTTATTATTCTTTTATCAGTTTCTTTAAATGCGAATAAAAAGACGTATATTTGTTGCAATTTTTAGACATTTTTATTAGTTCTTATTACGTGTTAATTAGTTATTCAATAAGTTTTGTTTTCGTCATTTCACACGCTTTAAGAAACAAGCAAAAAGAAGGTTGCGCAACGTTATTTCAAGAGTTGGCGATGTTTGCGATGTTCACGCTGGGTACTTGGCATCCATTCTTCATACATTTAGATGCAAACAGTCTCTCTTCATAGGGATAATGGTTTTTTTCTTAACTTGCAACAGAGTGTAACACTTTAAATATAAATAATTAAATTAATACTTATAGCCCTTTAGTGCAATGTAAATATGCGCGTATTTTTAATGTACTAAAAATACTAAAATGAACATAAGCTTAAAATTCTGAGACTGCTTGTAATCTGTGTGCAAATGTAGCTTTGGAAATTATTTGAGCAAGTGTGTAAATACATTTCGGGTGTATTTCTCAAGTTTATTGATAAATGATACTGTATTTTATGATTTAATATCAGTTTTGATTTGCTTAACGTGTTGGGAATTGCTTAATTGATTTTGAGAATATGTGTATAATTGTGAGATGGTGATTGGAGAATATATGCTATGTTGTTGACACTGCCATGTATATGCACAAAAACCTGTGTTTAGTTTTTCTTTAAAAAATCAATTGTTGCAATTAATTTAAATATGCAATAAAATATGTCAAGAATAAAAATAAAAATTTTTACTCAGCAAAAGTTGTTACTTTTGACGCATATTTATCAGAAACCTTTTAGTAAACTATAAAACCATTTAGTTCACCCAAAATGGGCTAAACTATTAAAATTTTTGTAGGCCAAAAACAAAAAAATTGAATTAATAGTTTTTTAGAAGCGCAAAAATATAGAACAAAATTTAGCTTTTAAATTCAAAAAGGCAACGTTTATAATGTAAATTAAAAAAGCAAGCAAAGAAGGGACTGTTTATGTCCATGAAATTCGATTCTAAGAAGAACAAAATTCAATGTTTTCAGGAACTAGCATTTGATCGAAATCTTAAAAATAAAAATATGCATGAATATTACACGCGTTTGTTTACAACTCCAAAACATTTCAAAAGAAAATTTACATTTTCTGATACTGAGAATTGGGCAAACCTTTTCCCCAATCAAAGTTTATTCACAAATATTCTTCATCTTTTTCTTTGTTCTTTTTGTCTTTGCATGAACATAAACCATTTTTACCCAGAGCGACTTATTTTTACTGAATAACTTTCGTGGAAATCCGATTTTCCATGTTGTTGATTTGTCAATCTTCAAAATACACAAGATGGAAAGATCCATTTTTTTTTTCTTTGGAAAAAAATTGATTTCTCTTTGATCTTCAATTAACAGTAAAATATTTATATATGAAATTAAAATTTAATTCTTTTAAAAACTATTAATTTTCATTAACAACAACGGAAATTTTCAAAGGCAATTTTCAATCTAATCTCTAGGTTAGACTAATATGCAAATTCTGAACTAGATAAAGATTTTCATTCGGACTTCAGGACCCTTAAAGGGGTCTATTAAGGTCTATTACATTAAATATGCAATTTTTTTTACAGTCACTTTATATTTTTGTAACCTAAAAACTAAATTTTTTAGCTTACGTCTTTACAAAAATTTTGAAATTTACGTTTGTGTTGAAAAGCATATTTTTGACCACCTCATCTAGAAATTTGATTTGCTTTTCAATCCGAAATAAAAATCTGGTAAATATGTGACTACAAGGACAACTCTATATCAACTTGAAATAATGAATTTCGAAAAACAAAGCTTCTATCAATGCACCTTAATCAACATCTACTGTTCAATATGTTTCCAAAGTTTAGCACTTAAACAATCATAACTCTTCTGAATTAAAGAAACATTCCTATTACATATTTAGTAGTCTAACTACTTTGCTTGATTCATTCATGAAGAGTTTAAAAAAATGATAACAAAACAGTAGCAAGTTTCAAAACCTTTTTAATGTCTCAATCTTTAAATAAAAACACAATTAAACAAAATACATTTTTGAAGGTACAATTTTTTTTTACTTAGTTTTATATTATTTTAGGTGCATTCCAGTTGTAGAAAAATACTAAACTTTAAAGTTTAAGCTTCGAACAATGATTTTATAACTTTCCACCTATGTTACAAATTATATGCTGTCCTTACACTTAGGTTAACTGTGTTAAACAAAATTCACACTTCTGTTAACAATGATAAACAATGTTCATATTAATGCTACTCATTGTTTCGTACCGAGGTCTTTAATTACATTATTTCCAAATGTAAAAATGAGAGTACGATATTTATATGGATGTTTAACTTTGCAAAGATTTGATATAGAAGTATATACAAAGTAAATGAAATAAATAAATGCAAAAAAAAATCTAGTTCATTAATTTTAAAATAATTTTGAACTTCATTTTAAAATATTTTTAAATTTATCTTACTTAATACAATAGTTTAAAGACCAATCATTTCTCCAATCAAGTTAAAAATATCATTAACAATGCTCCGAGTTGTATAAAACTTCAAAACACCTAAAGCAATCTTAAATTAAAAATTATATTTTAAGAACGTCATGAATCATTTTCAAAAATTTGTATAATAATATAAGAAAGTTGTTCTAAAGCAGAGTTTAAAAAATAATGGTTTCCAATTTATAATCAACATTTTTACGCTAACTGCAACTTTATCTCTCATAATTTACGAGCAAACGATGTCAACTAGCTGTCAGGGGAATTTTATTACCCGTGTCTGCCCGGGTATGATTAAGGTCTTAACTTTACACACGTTAAGTTACGTTCGTAGACTGAGATCAACAAGTCTGTTAATGACTGGATCGTTGTTTTTAAGCTCCTTCTAGTAACTGTTATAATCTGAAAATTGTAAGCCTATTATATCGCCATATTCATTAAATAAGTTTTATAGATCTATGACGTGCATTTATGATATAAAAGAATTTTTTTCAGCTAAATATTTAATTAAATCTTTGAACGAAAATTATATAAACTAATTGATAACGTGTAAAAGAGAGGATTTAATTCCAAAAAAGAATTTTTTTTAAATATAAAACAGTTTAATAATTTTTGAACTTCAAGAAAAATATTTATTAATATGATAAGTTTTCAGTTTATTTAGAGTTTGAGCTTCTTTATAAAATTTAATATCAAGCAATAAGTCTAAATTATTTGTAAATAATAAACGAAGACTAATTTTTAACGTTCTTACATAACAATTTATATATTAAGTAATCAATTTCTGTTCTGAATTCAGAGACTAAATCATTTACAATAAATTTAAATTATTATTATTTATACTGATTAAAGGGATTTACTTGTAATAACATAATATTTTATTATACTTAGTTATTAAAACTTAGAAATATATGCAGAGTTTTCTGTAATCACCAACCCTAATGCAAATTTTGCGAGACTACATTAAAAATGACACAAAGAAAATAATGCCCGCTTAGAGTTTAAGTTAAAAAGAAAGAAAAACGTCTGAAATAGAAACGTCCAAAAAATCTGACTAATCACTTTTCAGAAAGTTTCGACTAAAATCAGTTTGGACAAGTTTTAAGATGTTACACGAAGTCGTTATTCAATTCTTCCTGTTATTCCCACAACAAAACAGGTTTTTATATTTTCAGTCTGTCTTTCCTTGTCAATGATTCCTCTTTTTTTTATTTCTTCTTTCAAATAATAGTCTGTGGCCTATGTTGTGTATTTTTTATACTTCATTTTGGCAAGGATTTAAATATACATATAAAAATAAAGAAAGTCAATTTCAAAGCACCCTTTATACATAAAAATATGCTTCCTAAACTACAATGGAATTTTGAATCATTGTAAGCTGCGACGAAATCTTGCAATTGAAGAGACAAGAGAAAATACAAGTATACATAGATAGTTATAATTCGTTATAATACATTTCATAAACGTTAATTTTGTAATGAAATTTTTTCCGATCCGAACTATTCTGAAGAAAAGAATTAAAAGTTTTGATCTACACATTTAGTTATACACATTGCAGGAACGTTGTTCTGTTCTGTATTATTCTGCATTACTTATTTACATTTTATTAGTTGCAATTATCAGGTAATGTAATCATACAGAAACCTTTTTTCAAGAAATATTTTCAACTTTAATCACTGGAAAATTTCATCTTCAGCAGTATTTATTAGTAAAGGTTTGTTGATTATAATTTTGAACCTCTCAATCCCGTTGCAAAATAAAATAACTTTTATTGCTGTATATATTGCTAAATTCTTGTTATTCGATTTAAGCATCTTTATTGTATAGGCTGTATTGTTTTACATTCTTAAACATTTCAGCATTGATTTTGTAATTCAGATATTGAAATGCCTAATAACACAAAACATTTTAATCCCGCGACAAGTTTTGCGTACCATTCATTTTTGGTACTGTAAAATCAGTATGTACTGTTAACTCATTTGTAAAATGTTACATATCATATTTGTGCGGCTGTGCTCATACATACAGATGTACATAAATTGTAGATTTGTTGTAATAAATTGAAAAACTTTTTTTGTTTTCTGCTTCTTTCTTTACAATTTTTACCTTCTTCCAATAAATGTAATTAATATTATTGAATAAAAAAAAAACATAAAAATTGGACTTAAAGATTAACCCTTTCCTTCTCGCTCCCGTGAAAATGACGGGATGAGGTTTCGCCCTCTATTTCTCGCTCCCGTGATATTGACAGGCTGGAGTGTTCAGTAGTAACTTGCCAATAAGAATAAAACTATTTCATTTATTTTGCCCAGAAAACATTTTATTTCTCATTTTACACATCAGATGGCAGTACCAGGATACTTTTAAGGTAATTGTAGATAGTTAGTTTATTTTAAACTAGATGTCAGCACTAATCAAATGCGTAATACAAATACAAAAGCCGAAAAAATAGGCACTTTTATGACCGTTTTCCTGAAAATTAATCGATCGTTAAGGGGTTAAGGGGTCCAATGAAAGAACTGGTGAACTTTGCGAATGATACTATCATAAAGAAAGTTAAACACAAAAAAAGCGAAAATAAAATTACCTAAGCAGATATACTACGGCTTCAGTTCTATTATAACTTCAGTGTTTAAACGCAAAATCTGTTTACAAATGAAATTACAGTGTCTGTGAGAATGTGGTATTATATGTGTTTTTTACATGTTTAGCTTTATTCGGTAAAGAAATGCAAAACAGCTGAAATAGATTTTATTTAAAATACGAAAAAGCTGTTAATTAAATGTTATATAGGCAGGCACATGCTATGAGGATCATTAAAATATTTAACTAAATTCTACTAATTTTTTCTGCTTTTAATTTAATTTCAAATATCTTTTTTGCATTACTATAACGACAATTCAGAGAAACAACGTCAAAAACATTTTCGGCGACCATTAAATGAAATAATGAAAGAAAAATTTACAATAATATTAATTAGGAAATTATATTAGGTATAAAAATTATATTTGGAAAAATAGGTTTTATAGTTAAGGGTAAATATTTTCGGATTCGCATAAAAAGTCATGACAAAATATGGAAAATTTGAAATTAACAATAAAGGACCCAAACTTTTAGTCTCACTTTTGTTTAAACCATTAGGACCATATTTTCCAGATAGCGGCTATCTCTCATATTTTGAGAACAAAAATCCGTACCCAAAGTTTATTCAGAGAAAGTATGATTTTACGGAGAGAGTTAAAATATGGTCTACTCTAATTAATTAGCGTATTAAATGTTAGCCTTTTGAACCATTAATATACCTTCTTAGTACGTGAAAATAGCTCAATCACAGGCCTCATTTGTCCATTGTCTCAAACGTGGTGTTTATCTCGTGCGTAACTCGGGACCTTGTGCCAATGAGTCCGCAATGATTGATCTTCTGGTTCTGCAGTGGCTCTTGTCGGTATGCATGGGCTTTCTGGAGAGTGGTCGAAAGTCCCTTGATAATAATTTCCCTTTTTAAGTACTTCGCAATAACTTGAAGACTTTTGAGGCGAATGCTCGCCTTTTGCACTCATTCAAAAAAATTTATTTATCCAAAAATAATTTTATGCAAAAAATAAATTTTAACAATTACTTTTATTATTTAACTTAATGGTAACAGAAAGTTTGAACAGTAAGATTCGAAAATTCATGCATAATTTTTAACTATGCAATTTTCTGTGAAATCTTTAAAATGCGAATCGGATCGAAGGAATAGTTTCTGCATTATACAATTTCAGAGAAAGGATATTTGCAAGGTTCATTATCACCAGGAACAAAAAGGTGAATTGTAAAGAAACAAAACCAAGAAAATAGTCTCTATAGAGGACAGGCAAATGCGGTATTCATCCAAGCGAATTATTGCCCTTCAGTGGAAATAAAAACTTTAAGAAAAATGTTGTTTGTTTAACAGAATAAATAGTAATTAAGCTAATCTGAAATCTGCGCCTTGTTCTTGAAATGAAGTTTCTCCCAAACTGATAAATGGATCGTTTAAGACGTTATAAATAGCCAATACAAATGATCTTTGAAACAGCAAATGCCAATTTCAGAAAAAGAATGGAAATGATATTCAATTTTTCTTATTCATAGTTAGTAACTTGAAAATACATAATGCATCTGAATATTTATTGAAATGCTTCAAACTGTTTATCAAAGCAACTCTACTAAAATGCATAAATTTTTTAAAAAACAAATATTCCCAAAATTAGCTTTTAACTTTTAAAACAATAGCGTAAGTTACAGATATTTTTCTATAAGAAAAATCCTGATATGATTCTTGAAAAATTTTATTTTACTTCTGCCTCTTGCTCACTATATCTCAACCATTCCCAGGAAATAATTTTACTATTCCGCGCTGGTGTTTGAATTCTCGAGAATTTTCATTTTATGGCATGACTTGGTATTCGTTGATATAATGCAAATAAAATAACCATCCAAGACTTATAAGACATAAATTGGATCCTGCATAAAGATCCATCCGAGTTAAGTGGTATAAAATAGTGGTTACAAAATCGTAAACCTGGTAAATAGATGGCAGCGAGCCCTCTAACAGATATACCCTCACAAAAAAATAAGGTGTTTTTGAGGTTGGCAGACGTAAAAAATATCCCTGAGGTAGAAAAGAGGTTATGTTCTGCTATAAAAAGAACCTCATTAATGAATCTCAATTTCAACCCCGTTTGCACTCATATATAGCTCATCAGTACTGTTTGTGCTTAAAGTAGTTTTCAAAATGAAATATAGATGGCAGTATAAAGTCACGTGAATAGTGAATGTTAATTTTTGTTTTATGTATATGTAGTTTTAGTTCTCTATGTGTTTTGTCTCAATAAAGTTGTGTAATTAAAACCGGCATGGTAAGTGATTATTTTTCCCGAGATGAATAAATCCTTTTTCATTTGTGGCGCCATTACGTGGGGCAGATGTGGATGACTCATGTAAGTGACTTTGATTTTTGAATTTGCTTGAAACTTGAATAGAATTGAATTTTGAATTTGGGAACTTTAGAATTGAATTTGAATAACCATGTCGGTCAGTGATAATGAGACAGATGAAATTGATGAAAACTCGAAGAAAAAAACCATTCAAAAGAGAACAACATATAGAGCATTAACGACTAAACTGCTTAATAAAATAGAATCCTGTTATAAAGATGAAAATTTAGATGATGAGAATAAAAATGAAGAACTAAAAACCTTATACGATCAATTGATTGAAAAAGAATATGAGCTTGTAAAACTTAACATAAAGATAGAGGCATTTATTTCCGTTGACGAAATTGAAAGGGAAATAATTTCGGTTGATGAATATTCGGAGAAAATTTTAAAATGGAAAAGTAAAGTTAAACGAAAAATTGATAAAATTAATGAAGAAACGCAATCGGTTTCTAGTCACGAAAATTTACCTCTAAGTTCATTAAATAGAACTCCCATGATAGAACACAAAAAATTGATTTCTTTACCGAAATTAACTTTGCCTAAATATTTTGGAGACCCCTGTTTATGGCTTGAATTTTGGGCCCAATTTGAAGATGCAGTGCATAAAAATACCGAATTATCAAATGTCGAAAAATTCCATTACTTAAAAAATTCGTTGGGTGGTTTGGCATTAAATTCTATTAAGGGTTTTTGTTTGACAGATTCTAATTATGACAAATGCATAAAATTAATATCTGATAGATTTGGACGAGAGGATCTTGTAATTAATGGTCACATGACTAAACTCCTTAATTTAGAACCCGTGAAAAACTCTTCTAATTTGAGAGCGTTTCGAAATTTATATGATCAACTTGAAATTAATATTCGTTCCCTTGAAAGTTTGAAGGTCGCATCTGGTTCGTATGGCCAGCTTTTGTGTCCCATAATTCTAAAACTATTACCTCCTGATGTTAGTTTGGGATATAACAAAATAAAAGAATCTAAAGGTCAGTTTAATGTAAATGAATTAATGAAGTTTATCAAAATCGAATTAGAATCGAGAGAATCGTCATTACAGCTAACACAACCAAAAATTGATTATTCCCCTCCATATCATCGTTCGGCAAACGAATCATACGCGAAAAGAAATAATCCGCACACTTCCGCCTTAACTACTATCATAAAAGATAAAAAATGCATATTTTGTTTTAAGGGACACGATTCTTTAAATTGTCGCTTATTATCACTTTTTGAGAAAAGGGCCAAATTAAAAAGAGAAGGTCGCTGCTTTAAATGCTTATGTAAAGGTCATTTGAGTGTAGAATGCCAGGAAAATGTTCGATGTAAAAAATGTA